AGGTTTTTCCACGTCCGGACGAGTGTTTTTTTCCACAGCCGGGGGGGGCAACGCGGACACAGGAAAGACAGTCACCGGCAAATCTTTAGTTTATGCCCAGTGGAGCTCCATAAAGTATTAGGTGGTCTATCTAACACTAATCTACCTATGCAGGTTTTAAGATTATTTTTAGGAAATTTTGATTTAAAAGTACTCACAAGACGTTGGTCGACCCCCCAATCCACCCACAATACCGGAGTGGATAATAAGAGTGGATAAATTACATTTACCTTAAGGAAAGGATCTGCTTCTCCCTCCGACTTCTAAAAACCATATCCACTAAGGCCAAGTGGGTTAAATATCCTGGTTTGAACAGAAGTCCAGAACGGGTGACCATGCAATGATCTCATTTATTTTATTTTATCTTAATGTTTTGTTGTATCTAAGGATTAATTTATCTCCCACAGTTTACTTCAAAACTGCCTAGTGGACATTTTATTTATGTATTTTTTGCTTTTTCATGTAAGTCCATCTTCCCCAGTTTGTTCAAAGTTGTTATCTGTAATCTGCTTAACTTTGTATATTACACACAAAAATAATTGAGTGGCTGTAGTAACATTGTATGAAAGTAACTAGCACTGTACTGTAATGCTCTCACAAAATAGAAATAAAAAATGTCAGAAAAGAGAACAGAGCCGGTCAGCATGTGGCTTGTTTTAGCAGATGGAAACACGAATGTCGGTAAATCAGAGGCTGTTACCTAACAGGGCTGCAGCCTGCAGCTTTTCTCTCACTCAGCTCTAACTACTTGTTTGGGGTGTTTTTCTGTCCTTTGTTTTCAAACCGCCTGAAGCATCGGAGGTTACACAAGTTCCCTTCAGGCATTTTGGTTTTGGATTGTTTATTTTCTCTTCAAAGTCAATGACCATGATGACTTCTTTCTGCTCTCAAATCAGACCCAATCAGGACCAAAATCAGACCAAGATCAGGACCAAATTAGGCTGATCTTAAACTCAAATCGGACCCGTATCAGGCTCAAATCAGACCCGTATCAGGCTCAAATCAGACCCAAAACAGACCAAACTCAGGCTCAAATCAGACCTGTATCAGGCTCAAATGAGACCTGTATCAGGCTCAAATCAGACCTGTATCAGGCTCAAATCAGA